GTGTGCGGGACGCATGCGGGCACACCCACTGGGACCTTCGGTGGAGCTCCCTTGGGGCCACGAAACGTGTGAGGGGTGTGCCGAAATGGGTGTGCGGGAACGCATGCGGGGCACCCACTGGGACCTTCGGTGGAGCTCCCTATGGGGACGAACGGAAACCGTGTGAGGGGTTGTGTGCCGAATATGGGTGTGCGGGACGCATGCGGGCACACCCACTGGGACCTTCGGTGGAGCTCCCTATGGGGCCACGAAACGTGTGAGGGGTGTGCCGAAATGGGTGTGCGGGACGCATGCGGGCACACCCACTGGGACCTTCGGTGGGCTCCCTATGGGGCCACGAAACGTGTGAGGGGTGTGCCGAAATGGGTGTGCGGGACGCATGCGGGCACACCCACTGGGACCTTCGGTGGAGCTCCCTATGGGGCCACGAAACGTGTGAGGGGTGTGCCGAAATGGGCGTGCGGGACGCATGCGGGCACACCCACTGGGACCTTCGGTGGAGCTCCCTATGGGGCCCCGGAAACGTGTGAAGGGTGTGCCAAAATGGTGTGTGCGGGACGCATGCGGGCACACCCATGGGACCTTCGGTGGAGCTCCCTATGGGGTCACGAAACGTGTGAGGGGTGTGCCGAAATGTGTGTGCGGGACGCATGCGGGCACACCCACTGGGACCTTCGGTGGAGCCCCCATGGGGCCACGAAACGTGTGAGGGGTGTGCCGAAATGGGTGTGCGGGACGCATGCGGGCACACCCACTGGGACCTTCGGTGGAGCTCCCTATGGGGCCACGAAACGTGTGAGGGGTGTGCCGAAATGGGTGATGACGATGATGATGAAGATGGGAGGAGGGAGGGGGCAGCGGGAAGGAAGGAACGCGGGGCGACGTCTCTTCAAAACGAGGACCCAACACCACAGGATGGTTGGGAAATATAGGAAGAGGAATATCCACTCACTTTTCTACATGTTCGTAGCTCGGGACCCTGCGACAACCCCGTTCCCCTGAGCGGGACCGAATCCTTGGCCCCGGGGGCACCCTGGAGGCCCTTGCAAGACGGCCACCTGTGCTTTCTGGGGCTCCGGCAGCCCCTGTAGGGCCTAGGCCACGGACCCAAATCGGCCAGGAGGGCGGCCGGACGGCCCCACGAGAGCCCGCAGAGGCCCCCGGGACACCCACGGGGACGCCCGAAGACGACCCAAAGGAGACCTTCAAAAGGCATCCGAAACGCAACAAAGAGTTAGATTTCCGATTGTTTTTTTGATGATTTTGGGATGCTCAGATCTTCGATCTTCTGGGCGCCGGAGACCGCCCAGGAGGCCAGAGAATCGCTCCAAATTTTATCAGGAGGGCTTCCAGGCAGTCCAAGAGGAGCCCCCAGACGGCCCAACAGGGCCCCAAGAGGCCTCCCAAATCATTTCAAACCGTGGCCCGGTCGTTCAGGGAGACCGCGGTTGGAAGCAAGGTGGCCTGGGGAAGCCCCCGGAGGCCCCCAGGAGGAACCCAGGAGGCTTCCAGAAAGCCCCAGCAAGACCTTAAACACCTTCGTGAGACTTACAAGAGGCTCTCCTAGGATGAGCCTCCGCAACAAAAAGCTAAGGAGGGGACGGATTCGCAAGGTATGGCGACAATGAGGAGGAAGAGGAAACATGAGGGAAGGATCACGAATAACATCACTACAAAGACGATGCCAGAAAAGGCAACAACTAATGATCGCTAAATGTCCCGTTCTACTTTAGTGCCCTCCTGCCTGCATGCCAAGCCTCAATGACCAGAGTGCATGGGCGCGAAGCGTCAATGCAGCCTTGTGTGTGTGTGTATACGTGCACGTACCTCCGCTGCCCCAGGCCTGGCCCACTCTGGGCCTGGGAGCAGTGTTTTCGCCTCCCTGGCCAAGCCAGGCTGTCGTGTGCACCGCTCCTAGGGCCAGGCCTGGGGCAATGGCTACACGCCGTTCATTTCTAATCGTGCTCATTTCTAACTGTGCTCGTTTCTAATTGTTCCTGGCCCCCTAGTGGCCAGCAAGAGGCCCAGGATAGAACAAATAGAAATGAAAGGATCTTAGCCCACCCAAAATCAAAGAACTTTCGAACCATAAAAAATGAACAACGTGTATGTCTTGACCCCGTCGCCCGGCCTCTCGCCCTCCCGCGCCGCCACCCCCCCTCGGCGAGCCGGCGCGGGCACGCGGTGCCCGCTCAGAGGCCCCCGTCCCCCGCCCGTCTGCCGGGAGGCCTCGGGGGGCGCAACGCCCTCTTTGAGGGGCAGGGCCCTTCCGAGGAGGCCTCTGCCCTTCCCTTCGAGCCTTTCCAGGGGGGGAAGAGGGGAGGAGGAGGAGGAGGAGGAGGAGGAGGAGGAGGAGGAGGAGGAGGAGGAGGAGGAGGAGGAGGAGGAGGCGGAGGAGGAGGAGGAGGAGGAGGAGGAGGAGGAGGAGGAGGAGGAGGAGGAGGAGGAGTCTGTTCTTCCGAAAGCGGGCCACTGCCCTCTTGTTGGAGGGCCGCCCCCCCACGCCCCGGCCAGAAAGCCCCCAGCATCCTCAGGGCGTCGCTTCTTTAGAAGAGGAGCAGAAACGCCATAAGCATGATGAACGTTGGCGCTCCGAGCGGAGATCTTGGATCTGCGCTGGACCTCCCTCCCGGGCGCGCGAAGCGCGCCAGGGGCGGCGCCGGGGGAGGGGCCCAGCGCGGATCCAAGAAATCCGCGAGGAGCGCCAGAGTTTCTGCCCATGGCGTTTCTTCTTCTCCGGAGAGAGGCCCCCCAGCATCCTCAGGGCGTCGCTTCCCCCCGCCTCGGCCCTCCCCGACTCGCCGCGGAGGGCTCGCCGCCCGGCCAGCCCTGTCCTGGCATCGCGGCCGCGCGCGCAGGCGGCGCAGCGGCGCCCACATCGGGCAAGGAGCCCGCGCGCGGGCCGGGCCAGCTCAGGCAGGGAGGGGCTGCTGGGTCCTCCCGCCGGGGACCACGCGAGGGGAGGAGGCAGTCGCGAGGGGACTGTCGCGAGGGGGCGATCGCGAGGGGGGGCGCGAGGGACCGCCAGGCCAACACACCAGCGGGTCCACGAGCTTCTCTGTGGCCCGGCTGCCTCTGGCGTCATGGCCGGCGCCAGCTGCCCGCAAAGGTGCTTCGCGGAACGCCGCCGCCTCAGCCGTCGCGGGGCACCGCAGCCGCCCCGCTGCCCCGCGTGGCAAAGGTGGGACGCGGCACGCAGTAATCGGGATGGTGGCCCTCCTCCATCTCCTGCCAGGTGGGTGGCAACATGCCTGTCGTTCGGGCGCACTGGGGCCCCGACCGAGTGCAATCTCAAGCGCCCCTGACCAGCGGGCATCGTCGGGCAGCGTCTCGAGCCCAAGCGGCTCCAGAATTTGCCTTGTACTCTCCCTCCTTATTCCCCCTGCATTTTTTACTCTTTTCACTCCACCTCCTCCTCATCCTCCTCCTCTTCCTCGTCCTCTTCCATTCCTTTTCCTGATAATTAACTCCTCCTCGTCGCACCCCGAAGCCGCTCGGAAGGGCGGGCCAGGCGTTTCGCCTGAGACTTCCTGACCACTTATGATCTTGAAGCTGAAAAGTTGGCAACAGTTTCACAAATGGAGGGCGGGCCGTTTCTAAAATGTGGCTCTCGCCACAGCGCCGCGCACATCCGTCTTGAACAACAGGTTCACGGATTGAGGGCGGGCCGTTTTCAAAATGGCTCTCGTCTTGGTGCCGCGCACATTAGGCTTAGAAGTTTGCAAGAGCTTCGCGGGTTGAAGGCGTTTCCTTATCAAAATGTGGCTCTCGACTTAGCGCCGCGCACACTCGTGAAGCAAAATTGCAAGAGTTTCACGGGTCCCCACAGAGGACGTACCAGAAGCGGTGCCTTGACACGATTCAGGATTGGCAGGGCGCAACAGTTGAGTCGCGGTGTCGAAATACCAGGAATGGTGCTCTGGCACGATTCAGGATCGCCAAGACGCAACAGTCAGGATGATCTGTGGCGTTGAAATCCAGAGAATCGTGTTTGGGCACGCTTCAGGATCTTCAAACGGTTGTCTCCCAACGGGGCACTTCCCTCAGTGGAAGAGAATCCGTTTAGGAGCCTATAAAGATGGAGCTTGGGGAGGGTTCATCCCAATATCGTTGATGGGCCTTGGGTTCACACTGGCTTTCCTTCCTCCTCCTCCTCCTCCTCCTCCTCTTCCTCTTAATATTCTACCTCCTCCGCCCCTGCTCTATCCTCCTCCTCCGTCTTCTTCTACTCCTCCTCCTCCAACTCCTCCTCCTCCTTTTCCTCCTCCTCTGGCGCCTCCTCCTCCTCCTCCTCCTCCTCCTCCTCTTCTCATCAGCATCATCATCACCATCATCATCATCATCATCATCATCACCATCATCATTATCATCATGATAATTAGCATCACCATCATCGTCCTCATCGGCATTGCCATCATCATGAACACCATCATCGTTATCATCATTCTCAACATCAACATCATCATCACCACCATCATCATCATCACCATCATAATCACCATCACATCAGTCATCATCATCATCATCATCATCATCACTATCATCATCATAATCATCATCCTAATCATCATCATCATCATCATCATCTTCGTCCTCCTTTTCCTCTTCCTCCTCCTCATCATCATCAGCATCACCATCATCGTCGTCATCGTCATCGTCATCGTCATCGTCGTCATAATCACCATCATCACGATCTTCATCACCACCACCATCATCAGCATCATCATCAATATCCTCCTCCTCCTCCTCCTCTGATTTCCTTCCTCTTCCTCCTCCTGCTCCTCCCATCTTCCCTCTTACTTCCATCCTCCTCCTCCTCCTCCTCCTCCTCCTCCTCCTCCTCCCATCTTCCTCTAACTCCCCCCCCTCCCTCTCCCGCTCCGCCTATCCTCCGCCTGCCTCCCTCCTGGACCCGGCCCTCGACGCGCTTCGCCCCGATGGAGCGGCGGAGGGCCGGGGAGGCCCCCATGCGTTTTTGGGGGGGGGGGGAGCGTGGGAGC